ATATATAATGTATTATAAGTCTCGATCCATTCTATGTATGTAAAATTGTATTTTTAACATTTTAACTTGTTTGTTTGAAATCTACTTTTTATGTAATTTTCTGTAAATCAAATTTTATCTACCTGTGACGTTTCGTACCCTGTATGGCATACACGAAATAAAGTTATTATTATTATTATTATTATTTAAAAAATAATTATTTCTGACTAAACTATGCAGAATTCGAAAAAAAAATTGATATTTTTTCTTCAAAAAAATCTAATTCACTAAAAAATAAATATTAGACAATTCAAAGGAATAAAAAAAATTCAAAAAATTTCTGTTAAGGTTAGTTAGAAAACTATCCTTATTTATAACCGATTTTATGGTATGATTATTACCTGCAATTTTCATTCCATTATCTTAATTAGAAAATTATTTTAAAAATTGTCCAAATGATAAGACCCCTTTGGACAGCCATATCTCAGTAACGGCATAACCAATGTTTATAGGAACTTTTTTTACTATTTTTGGCTCTACTATACTATCACCTCTTTAAATTTTGTACAAACTTTTCCAAACACAGGGTGTTTCAGTTCAGGTGAATAAAACTTTAACCATAAATAGAACTCAATAAATAATTCAGAATTGCCTTATAAAGCAGGGGTGTAACTATCATTGTTTTCACTATACAGGGCTGTATGGTTGGTCAATTAAAATCATATTATTTGTGAAATCTTTGGTATGCTTATAACAAATTGATTCAAATTTGGTGTGGTGTAAACATTTACACATGTGCATAATTTACTGTAAAATTTACAAATTTTTGTAGGTCAGTGGTGTGGGAAAGGATAGTAAAGCAGGATTTCTTTTACCCTAACTTCTATGCTAATGACCTAATAATTATTTGATATGCATTTTTGGATTCCGTGAACAATTTTACATAAAAAAGATATACTTGTAAATCGGTATAGTGTATTGCTTTACCTAAATTCTAGTTGAATCAGAGACAGTTCTTCTGATAAGAAATTTTGATTCTTAAGGATAGGAAATAAATTTTAAATTAATATGTTTATGTCACGTATTAACTTAGAATTCAAAACAATATTAAATGTGTAATGAACCTGTTTTATTTTCATTTTATTATGTCCAGAATTTGGAAATATTTCTTTTTATTTCGGATTATTTTACCCCGGCGGCGATAATTATTGATATTGATAACGAGCGTTCAAATAAAAACGTGGTCAAGTTGGTTTTGAAAATTTGGACGTAGGGCGTAGCGTATAGCAAATGAACTTAAACGTCATCTGTCAAAGCGCTATATCGCCGCTATCAATTTGAATATTTTCGTTTTAAAAAGCGTTTAAAATGGTGTTTTCTCAAGAACAAAAAGTGTTTATCATAGAGTCCTACTTTAGAAATGGACGCAAGATTGATGGAATATGGAAGTATTCTATTGAGGAATGTTTCATAGAATTTCAAAATCAATTTCCCGGCGTTGTTGAGTACAAAATTTTTCAAAGTGCAGTTCAGCGTTGTGTTAATGTTTTTCGTGAAACGGGCAGTGTAACAAGAAAAGAAGGAAGCGGCCGACCTAAAAAGCGGACTGAAGAATTAAAAGAAAATGTCCAACAAATAATGGAAAATGCGCCAAGAACTTCTGTACGTGTTTTATCACAAATGGTGGGAGTATCAGTCGGTACCTGCCACACAGTGTTAAAAAAAGATTTGCGTTTGTTCTCCTATCGTTTAACTTGTCAGCAAGAACTTCATGAAGTTGATTTTCCGCGACGGGCTGTATTTTGTGAATGGTTTTTAAACAACTACGGTGAACTTCATAATATCACCTTTTTTTCTGATGAAGCCTGGTTTCATTTAAGTGGTTACGTAAACTCACAGAATATGAGAATGTGGTCTTCTGAAAAACCAGATAACTTTTTTGTCGAGGGCCCTCTACACGCTCAAAAAATTGGAGTTTGGTGTGCTCTCAATCGAAGGAGGATTTATGGACCTATTTTTTTTAATGGTACTCTTACTGCGCAAAGGTATAGAGAAGAAATTATCGCTCCTTTTGTTAACCAGCTGGAAGAAAACGAAATTACAAACTTTTACTTTCAACAAGATGGCGCAAGGGCACATACGGCAGGCGAGACGATGAATATGTTGAGGGAAGTTTTCCAAAATCGACTAATAAGTCTCAATGCTGAACATGAATTTCCACCGAGGTCATGTGATATTACGCCGTGTGATTTCTTTTTGTGGCCTTACCTTAAAAACACTATTTTTGAACTGCCTATTCCTGATTTAAACCATCTGCAGGCTCGACTTATAGACAAGATTCGTGAAATTAACAATACCCCGAGCATCTTAGAAAATGTCTTTAATTCTTTGAGGAACAGGTGTGAAAAGTGCTTGGAACAAGGAGGGGGACACTTTCAGCAGCTGCTTTAATTTATTGTTATAACAAGGAGGGGGACACTTTCCGCAGCTCCTTTAATTGTTTGTTATTGT